AGCAAGACTCTGTCTCAAAAAAGACTCCCCAACTAGACAATGACAAATTAGGAACAAACTATTCTATGGAGGGGGGTGAAAATCAAGGACATTCGCCTCTACAGGCCTCTGGACTCTAAGGCATGTGACCACATGGATCCAGACATGCCAACAGACATGACAATAAACATGACTTTCAATGACCTTATAAAGTAATGAAATTGCTTTAGTATCTGTGTTCCCTAAGCACAGTTTTTTGTTTGTGTTTAATTTCTACGCAACTCTTGCTTGGTAATTTTACAAAAAGCCCTCAATTCTTACAACTTTTGTGCCTGCAGGACTTGGTGCCAACACTTCTCAAAAGATAACACTGAAACTCTTCTTGGTTTATGGAAGAACATTAAAATAAGATGTTCGTAAAGCCGAGCTAATTTTTTAAGCTAATAGTAATACTAGGTGTTAAGAGATAAACGTGATTTTTTTAAAAGGTAGAGAAAATGCAAAGGTAAGTGTACTGTGAAGATAAAACATTGATTAGATTACTGGTTTGGGGGGGGTTTATAAACAATTTTATTTTCTGATACAAGACAGAAAACAATGACTTTTTGCCTTCCTTTAGTATCTACCTTGACAGAAAAAAACATAAATAAGGGTAAATAAAATTCAGTTCTTAACTAAGTCAAATGTTAGTTCTATATATAAAATTATTTTAGCTACACAAGATCCATACTGGCTTCACAATCCATTATTGGGCAGACAAAACCTCACTGAAAGAAGAGAAAAAGATGACCCTATAAAATTAATTATATTATCCGAAGTGTTTAGCAGACAAAAAAAAATTAAATTAATTCTAAATTGTACTTACCAGAGAACTGAATAATTTTTAAAAACTTTTAAAAACAAGATTTTTAAAAATGCAAGTAGAAGAAAAAGGCAAAACAAAAAAGATTATTTGTGTCAATAATTTCCCTCAAAAATACTGCTTAAAACAAGCTGCATTGATTCTTATCTTTTTTTTCTTTCTCAGACATTTCATCAAGAAGCACAGAAATGACCAATGTGTTACACTCAGGACAGATGGGAAAAGGGGTATCAAAAGGTATGAAATGTTAAAATTAAGAACATAAGTTCATCAATAAAGTTGACTCTTTTAACAGAGAGTCATCACGGATGTCCTAATTTTATAGACTACAGAGAGGTGTGCTAAAAAAAGTAAGATTGAAATACATGATTTTGGCCAGGCGTGATGGCTCACAGCAAGGCAGATATATCACTTGAGTCCAGGAGCTCAAGACCAGCCTGGGCAACCTGATGAAACCCCATGTCTACAAAAAGTACAAAAATTAGCCTGCCATGGTGGTGTGAGCCTATAGACCCAGCCACTCGGGAGGCTAAAGTAGGAGGACTGCTTGAGCCTGAGAGGTCAAGGCTGCAGTGAGCCATGATGGCACGACTGCACTCCAGCATGGGCCATAGCACTGTCTCAAATAAATAAATAATTAAATATATATATACATGATTTTATTCACATACTGAAGACCATTGAATTATTAGTTTTTAAAAAGTTTACCTACTCTTGGCTGGGTGCGGTGGCTCACACCTGTAATCCCAGCACTTTGGGAGGCTGAGGCAGGCAGATCACGAGGTCAGGAGTTTGAGACTACCCTGGTCAATATGGTGAAACCCCATCTCTACTAAAAAAAGGAAAAATTAGCCGGGCGTGGTGGCGCACACCAGTAGTCTCAACTACTTGGGAGGCTGAGGCAGGAGAAATGCTGGAACCCAGGAGGCAGAGGTTGCAGTGAGCCCAGATCACGCCACTGCACTCCAGCCTGGGCGACAGAACGAGACTCTGTCTCCAACAAAACAAAACAAAACAAAACAAAAAAGTTTTACCTACTCTTGCAAAACTCATTCAATAAGACAGATGTGAAAATTTTATCTGAATTCTTGTAGATGGGCTAAAATCTACATAAATATTCCTTACCACATGTAGATTCTTTTGAAATGAAAATATTCAACAGACCTGAAACTTTGCAATGCCTCAAAAGCACTCAACTTTTCAAAAACAAACAGAAATATTAGCCACAGGTCATAAGGCATTACAAATATGCAACACAAAAAAGCTGCACATTTCATTCCACTAGATATGTCCTGAGATATAAATCTACATAAAATGTTTTATAGTCATTTAAAAACTACATCAGAAAAAAATTATATCAGAAAACATTAAGCACTCACCACTCATTTTCCCTATTCTTCTGTCCAGTTAATCATATTAATCCAAAATAACAATCCAGTAACTAAAAACAAATACTTCAACTAAACACTAAAGACTGAAAAAAAAAAAAAATCACATGGCAGTAGAGAGGTCAGACCTTCTGGGATACAACCACCTTTTCTTCTGAGATGTTTCATCACTCAAAACTATAAACTATGAATAAAGACAGTTTCTTCTGTCAACCCCTTAACTCCCAAATTCACTATTTTAGGACCCACAGTTAGTGACTCTGCTAAGAACATACCATGCTCTTTGCTACATTATTACCTCTGCACATGAAATGTCCTAATTCTGAAGAAGCTGCATTCAGTCAACTACACATCTCTCAGTCACCATCTCTCCCCTCCCTACTTCGGAACTTTCCAGGGCCTGCCCAACTATCCACTTCCTCTACCCAGCCATAGTTCATTGTTCTGGCTTGGTGTTTCCACACGATGCAAGACACAAAACTGAATTTTAAATGATTTTTAAAACTGCTCTCTTATTCTGCTTCCCTGATCATGTTCTTACTCTGCTTAAAACCCTTTAGTAATCTTCACACAGAAGAGAAGTGCTTTTCAAATTACCAGTTGCTACCACAGCGTCATTAAATAAATTGAGTGGGTCACCATCATCAGTCTATCTTAAAAATAAAATAGAATGGAACACAATAGAAACTACCAGAGTGCACCACACAAAGCAAGGGTATTATGTAGTGACATTTTATCATTTATATACAAGCATATTGGGTTGCAATGTAAAGATGCTTATCTTTCCAAAGGGTCATAGCCAAAAAAACCTCTAAACACACTAGACTACAGGATAATCCAATCTTTCATTTGATCTACATGGCTCTCCAACCCAGCCCCTGCGTAATAAGGCTCTAGACCTATCTCTTGCTACACCAAAGGGAGCTGGCTCAAGCAAACAAGCTTGTCATGCCAAACTCATTTGCAGTTCCTCGTTTTAGTGGTGTCAATCACTGTTCCCTCTGCCTTGAATGCCCTCTAATTTTTCTAAGAGGCTCACTTGTACTCATCTTTCAGTATTTAACACCTATCACCTCCTCTACAAAGCCTTTTTATCCTTCCCTCAGCAGCTAATGCCCCAATACCCACTTTGTGTCTCCACAATGCCCTATATTATAGCTCCTACAAAATTTCATGTTCTTTGCACATTTTAATTTTAGGCTTGACTGTCTTCCCAACTTCTAAAGTATAAACTCACTAAGGGAAGGAGTACATTGTACTAGCCTTCCTATCGGCAGCACTGAGCTAAGTACGTGCACTATAACATAGGTTCGAAGTTGGTAAAAAGAACAAATGAAGAATTAAGGACTTGCATCTAACTTGTCTGTTGTCAGAAATGATAGAATGGTTATCTTTGCAATAAAACCCCTTCATAGTGCTGGAATCAAGATTTTCACATTTTTGCTACAACCCCTAGAGAGCAGAACCCTGCAGTTTGAGGCAGAAGGAGGTGTCAGCTTCCTGTCTTTCAGCAAAGAGACTCAGTTTGGGCTGCAATGTAGCAGCACTCATTTCCACGCTTCCAGAAGTTACCTGGGGAAAGAGGCCGAGGAAGGACTCCAGAAGTTCCCACAGGCAGGTGAGGTAAATCAGAAACAGCATTAACAGATTTCATTAGCAGGGAGAGCCCTATTTTATTTATAAGCAGCTCTTAATAAGAGAAGGGAGGGAAAAAATTCCTTACCATTGCTGATGGCACAAGGTTACCAATATGAGCTAAGTAAAAACAAAGGGTGTCGTGAAATAACTGGTTGAGGTTACTTGATTTCTGTTGCCTACTCTAATAGTTCTGAAATAGCTACTGATTCACTGCTGTCATTATGAGATACTATTTGGAGGTGGGGGGTGGGGGTCATACCTAACAGGGGCTTCTCACAGAGGTCTCAAAACTTTTCAGAGACTTCATTTTATATATGTGAATGCCTTAATTTTTAGGGGATCTGATACACCTATTTTACAAACCCATACTTTAGTTGCCTTCAGTGCAATTAACAGTTCATGCAACATCCAAGATACTTTGACAGACTTTGCCAACTGTCAAGTTTCAGCTGTTCTTTTCCATTTCCACAAAGTTCATAAACTACTATTAGGGGAGCCATAATTTTCTTCTGCCCAATCACTGATTTTATTAAAAATAATTCCTTCGCTTAGACTGCCCCTACACTTGCAATAATTATCTACAATTAAGACAAAGATAAATCCTTATCATAACCTAACATTAGTTTAAAAAAAAAGTTGTAATATATGAAACACTTTACCCAGAGTATTAAATGTTAGATATCTATTACAGCAAGGTAATTAATGATTGCTAAGGTAAAGCTTTAAAGGCCATTTAAAGCCCTGTTTCCTTTTGTTTGAAATAGGCCCAGGCAGCTATGCGAATTCCACAAACATTTATTAGGCATAAATACGCATAAAGTGTAGAAACATCAGCAAATGCCTTTGCTTTGCTGTACGCTCTTCTACTTCCACCTACCTTTCCTCTCTCAACTCAAATAAAACAAGGCACTATCAATGAGAAAGGGTAATAGCCCCAAACACAGGCTTTCCAAAAAACAGCACCACAAAATGCTTGCTCCTTTTTCTCCTCAGTGCATATATAGGACTTTATTAACTAAAGGACAGATACATTCATTTATAAACAAATTAATTATGCTAAGTGTCTAAATACATGTTATGTGTGGGGCTTACTTTCCCATTTTAAACAGTAGCCCCTTCAGTATTAAATTCATCCTGTCTCTTCCGGTTCTAGGCACTTCAGGAGCCGTGGCTTAAGGTGCAAACATGACCAAGACCAACAACCACACCACACACAACCAGTCCCGAAAATGGCACAGAAATGGTATCAAGAAATCTCAATCACAAAGATACGAATCTCTTAAGGGGGTGGACCCCAAGTTCCTGAGGAACATGCGCTTTGCCAAGAAACACAACAAGAAGGGCCTAAAAAAGATGCAGGCTAACAGTGCCAAGGCCATGAGTACATGTGCCAAGGTTATCAAGGCCCTCATAAAGCCCAAGGAGGTTAAGCCCAAGATCCCAAAGGGTGTCATCCGCAAGCTCAATCAACTTGACTACATTGCCCACCCCAAGCCTGGGAAGCATGGTCATGCCCGCACTGCCAAGGGGCTCAGGCTGTCCTGGCCAAAGGCCAAGGACAAGGATAAAACCAAGGCCCAGGCTGCAGCTCCAGCTTCAGTTCCAGCTAAAGCTCCCAAAGGTGCCCAGGCCCCTACAAAGGCTTCAGATTAGATATCTGTCTGCCAACGTGAGGACAGGACTGGTGCAACCCCCAACCAGGCTGCCACCTGCATGGGGCTGGGGTCCTCCTGTGCTATTTGTACAAATGAACCTGAAGCAGGAAAAAAAAAATTCAGCCTAAGCTTCCCTTGGTAAAATGACAGGCATTCATGCAGCTTAAAGGTTGTGGAAAACTGATTTTCTTCCATGATGCTACTACTCCACAGTCTAGACAAAATGCAGCCATCAACATGAAAAACTGCTGCTTGATTTTTTTTTTCCTCCAACATGTTTTAAACAGAGCTGCAGATGCTCAAGGGAAGCCATATTTCTAAGGTTTTGAACAGTAGTATTTTTCAGTATTTTTCTCATGTAAAATTGGTGCAATTCATCCAGAACATTTTTCAAATGCCATTATTTTTCAGCGTTAAGTGCTTAAACTGCTTAGAGAGGAAAAGGTCTCCATCAGAAAGATCGACTTCCAGAAACCAACTGGTGATCATTAAAATGAGGAGAATAAAAAGAAAATAATTCATTTTTTACAGTTTGAAGAAATCTTTAAGTCATCTCTAATTCCTTCATTTTACAGATAAGAAATAGAGTCCACAGAGGTTAAGCAATTTGCCTCAGATCACTAAGCTACTAATAGCAGCGCTAGAAATAGAATGAGGCATTTTAATTACTCTTAGCAGTACCCCCAAATCATGCAAGTTATATATACTCTCATCACTTGTCATTCAAGTTTTTAAAACCATTATCACTTTGTCATTAATTTCTGAGGAAAGTCTCCTACAACATGTTCTAAATTTTCAAAGTTATGCATATTAAACTTCAAATTCTAACTCCAAAAAGAAGGTACTATTCAGGAACTTTCCTCAGAAAGTTTCAAGCGTGTGTACACCCCTAAACCATCACAATGAATTTCAGGGTCCATTCTTTCAAAACCTGTCCCTCAACTACACTTTAGATGTGTTTGTTCAACGACACACACACACACACAGAGAAAATTCTGGAAGTTCTTCCGCCAAAAACCAATGACAATCTGTCAATGAAATCAGATTACTCCATTAATATATTATGGGTTTCCAGCTTAAATTAGGAAGTGTCACTAGCATTTCATCAACCCACAGTGTGAAGAGTTAATAAAAGACTGGAAAATGCACTCTCGGTTGGTTCTGGGTCCGAAGGAAGGTGTAGATCTGATATTGTTAACACAAACTGAAGGGCTGAGCTTAAAAGCGAAAAACAAAAGGAGTGAACAAGTTCCTTAAACAAAAAGCCTTTTCGTACGGAATGCACCTGCACCGTGGTGACTGCATCAGTAAGACTGAATTTCAGATTTTCGTTTTAACGTCCCAGTAAATCAATTCTATACATTTTAGCTTTGGATATTCAAGGGCAAAAGAGAGGGCACCGTGAGGGCAACAATTTACTCTGGATCACTTTCAAGGACTGTTGTCTAACCACTCATTACAATCGTTCCTTTGTGCAACTGATTATCTAAAAGTACTGAGAGAGTGTAGTACTTCTCTTTGAAAGATAACCATCAGCAAAAGCTAAGATAATGTGATTTTGATGACAAACTGATGCAGCAGTCTGACCAGTAAAGTGTAGAATGCGTTGTCTTTGTAAATATTACTCACAAATCCATATTCAAGTTACAAACGATGTATGTGTTTAATTACGACCTCTGGTACCGCTCTACAAAAATGCAAAAATAACCTAAAAGGTTAGCATGCCTATTTCTTTAAAGTATGACCAGCTTAGCAAGGTGGCAAGTTTGTTTGAAAACACAAAACGCAATCACCACCACCGCTCAATAATACACATACATAAACAGACTCGAAGCTGTGTTAAGCACAAAAATCCTTACCCCATTTTGCCCAATGAAAACTTGCTCTGAAGTTTCAGCTCTTATGCTACGGAATAACTTCCAAAGGAATTTCTCCGTCTGCTATTTCGCAGTTGCTTTTCCACCCCCACCCCTAGATCCTTGTCCGGAGGTATTTCAAGGATGCTGCCAATTCAATTAGTTCTCTTAGGTAAAATGATTTCTTTCTTGTAAATACCAAAACGTTCAAACAGAGGCGGCATTTGCTTATTCGAGTTAAAACGCTTTGCGGAGGAGACAGCGATCAATTCTATTCCACAAAACGAGTCTACAAGTAGGAAAATGCAGAATCCGGCTTCACCGAGTCCTATAAAAAACGAGTTCGCTGGTCATTTCACTCATGTCCTCCTCGACACTCAGGGAGAGCCAGGTAACTCGGCCTTTTCAGAGCTAAGGCTGCGGGTTCAAATTTCTCCACCACACCAGGTCCCCGGGGGTGGAGCGAGCAACCAAACGCGACGTGCACGTGAATAAAAATCCCAAAAGCAGTAATGCCACGGCTTCCCTGCGCTCACATTAGGAAAAAAACTACATAGAAAAATCTCCTCGAAGTGCAAACCCGGCAGCTCGCAACCTGCACGGCACTCCACATTGGAATCTGTCTTTTTTAATGTTTCTTCTCCTAAGACTCGGAGCAGAGAAGAGGTGGGGAGGAGGAAGAGGAGGCTGGGCAGGATCGATTCATTCTCCCGAGGAGAATAAACGGAGCCATTTCCAGGCTGGCAGCAGGCTGGGGGCGCAGCGCACGCCGGGGAGCTGGAGGAGGGGGCCCGATCCCACCTCCCTCAGCCCCTTCCCGCCCCCCGCCGCCGAGCACAATGGAGCTCGGCTCGCGCTCGGCCCTTCATTCGCGGCTGCCCCCTCTTCCCTCCTCTCTTCAGAGCACAGCGGTTCTGAGGCTCCCGTCGGCGGAGAATGAATGAATCACAGAGCCAAGCCCCACGCTTCCACTGGCGCCCTGCCCCCAGCTCCAGGGCGGGCGAAAGGGGCCGAAGGGTCGACGGGCGCCTGCCCGAGCCAAGGCGG